CACGTGTCAATATATAAAGTTATAGATGATTCCATAAGAGAACCATCCGATCAGTGGCGAAACCAGCCGGTCATCTCGAGGAGGGCCCAATTTGCCGCGGCGCATCACCCCCACTCCTGCCATCCCGCGGCGCACCACCCTCACTCCGTTATCGGAAGGGCGCTCAAAGGACTTTTGTGGACGCTCTCAAAAATTTTCACAAGATATAAAGGAATACTCTAGAGATTTTTCTAAAAATCAAACTAAGTCCGGAATTAAACTGATATACTTAAACTGAATTGTTTTAACTCGAAAAATACTCGAATTTATACTAATTAAAATCTCGGACTCAATTATAATAATAATAATCAAGAATTATACCTCCTTTCGAATAGACTAAAAGATGAAAAATTTGAGAAAACGAAGCCTCGAACGATCGAACTCGTCCTCGACAAATTTGCTCCTTTTGATACTATTTAACGCAGAAATTCAAACTCCCATAATAAATGCTCGGAACTCCGAAAAATGCGAAATTTGTCTGTATGGAATCGTGCTTGAATTGTCTACACGCTCCAACTCGATTCTCGTTAAACAGAGGTCACACGCAACCTTACGGAACCCCGCAAAATGGCTTTTTATTCTTCTATTATGCGCACTCGACTTCGAGCTTCTCAAAATAAATGCTTGAAACTTCGAAACGTGAAATAAATTTTACGAACGGCTTCTACTGTTCTCGTGCTTTCAAGAAAGCACTCCCACTAATTTTCACCATGTCTAACGAGGGCCGACGGTTACCCGAAGTCTAGACATGAAAATGACAATAAAATCACCGCCACTATCATTTTTCTCTCAACTTCGGGCTACCCAAAATAAATGGTCGAGACCTCAAAATTATAAATCGATGCCACCAACGCACTCTCTGCTTCCCGTACTTTCATAAAAGTATTTTTCGATAATGATCGACTCGGTTTTTTAGTCCCGTCGGTACACCGCAAATCGGCTAATTAACCAACTCAAAATATAATAAAAATAAAAATATTATTAAATTCTGTTGTTGTTATAGTTCTCCTTGTCCTGAAATCAGGATCCCGTTTCGGGGAGTGTCCAATTTGCCTTTAAACATAATTTTCGCGACAAAACCGGTGGCGCCCCTCCGGCCATGTACGTACCGCATGAAACCGAGGAGGATCCAACATGCGCGCTCAAAGGAAAATCTTTCAATTCCAGCAAAATCCTCTACCCTTAATTTAATTTTTTTTTTTAAAAGG